GGCAGGGTCACTGACACACACGGAAGAAATAGAACGAGTGAGGGGTCTAGGAAAGCCTATACACGCTGGCTCACCTCTCTCCTTACAGAAGTGGTGGCCTGTCTTCTACTAGAGTGAGCTAGCTGGGACATGGGGGGGGGGGGGAGAAGGGTAAAGGCTTACTAGGTAGCATCTCGGGGGCTGACGGATGGAGAACGATGTATTGACAGTCAATAACTGATCGCCTTCCGATCCCTTTGTAGAAATGTTTCTGCTAAGTCTGCGCGTGCAGGACGGTATAGTGACTTGTACAAAAGACACAGACCTAATTCGTTCTGGACTCCTACACCTTCCTCCTTCTAACCCACCTCCCTCACCCCCTCAGCAGAGATAAGACAATCACCTCCCTCATGTGTAAGTTTTTGTTTCTCGGAGATATGCTTCCGCACAAATATCCTTCAAGGCCACCCGAGCAGGGATAATATGCCGTTAGAAAACCAACCTAGCTGCGTCAGTACCTTTCCACTTAACTCCTGAGGGGTATAATACCCCGTATGCCCCGGAAAAGCTCATTCATCGCTGGAGCAGCAGTGCCGACTCCTTCTCCATCCCTGCCCATTTTGGGTTCATAGATAGCCCCAGCTGTGCACTCCAGTGATCTGGAAGCTGGATCCCTCAGCGAGCTAGCTGACTGCTGAGATCACCAGTTCAGTACCGAAGTAATCGGCCTGCTGAGGAGGCTGACAGTTTGGGGCCTGCAGTGACCACACTGTAGTGGGGCTACTGTTTGACACCTGTTTCCATCCCGTCCACCTGTAAAAACCTCCCTGGAGTCATTTCTTTCACCCTGTAATTGTAACCTAGCACTGTCGGTCGCCTCTTTTTGTCAGGCTTACTTACCTGGCACGGGAGAAAAGTTTTTAAAGTCGCATGTCTGAAGGTGGTTTGATTTGGTGAAAAGAGCTCTGGGCTTGAGTCATAGGGCTTCTTTGAGATTTGCTGTCTGACTTTTGGCTAGACATTTAATTTCTCTGAATCCCTGTTTCCTCAACAATAAAATGGGGCTGATATTTGCACTGTCTACCTTATAGAACCATAGTTCTAGAACTGGAAATGGCTTTAAAGGCCATCTAGTCGAACCCCCTCCCCCACTTTGCAGATAAGAAGACTGAAGCCCAGAGAAGTGAATGACTTGCTCAAGGTCAGAGCATAGTAAGTAAAAAAAAAAACTAGCATTCGGACCCAGATCCTATTTCAAATCCAATTCAAATGCTGTGCTCTTCCGACTCCACTTTGATGCCTACAACAATTTCGTGGCACTTTGTGATATGTCTTATAATTGTGAGTCATTGTTATTATATGACTGGATATGTATGTGTGATTGTGTATAATAGAAGGAGAAAATGGATGTGCCTGCGCTAAGATGAATGTGTGTGTGGGTGTGGGTGTGGGTGTGCGTTGGTATGTGTGATTCGCAGGTAGTGTACACGTGTATGAACAACTGCGACTGTGGGAGTGAATGTAGATGTGCTTAAATGAAATTGTATGAACCTGAACGAATGTTCTCCTGTGATTGTGCTGTTTAGATGCGTGTAAGCGACTGTGTCAATATGTATCCTTGTATGTGTCTGGGGAAGCAAGAGCCAGCCTTCAGTATGTGCCCAGGGAAAGTGCAAAGGCGAGACAAGAGGAGGAGATCCGCTAGTCGAGGACATTCAATTAAGAGGCAGCTGCCTTACAACTAGGCATTCCCCTATATCCACATTTACATACCTTGGATACACAGCCGCAGGGAGCGGAGGGAGCGTGGAAGAGAGGCAGGCTCACCGATCCAGAATCTACATCCACCACGAGCAAGCTACTAGTAGAGCCTTAAATGGCCCCTAATGGGCTTTGGGTGGGATGGACACAGGGTATGTGTCCAAGGTTCTTTTTCTCAGTGAATGTTGGACTAGCCCTGCTCTCGGCCTCTATCTTGGTCTAGATCTGAGTTCTCTGCCTACCCTCCTCCTTGTCCCCACCACACAGCATTCTCTCTACATCTCCCGGAGTGTGCTTATAAGACATCACCTCCTGGTTTAAATTGGACTTTGAAAACAAAAGATGTGTTGCCAGGAATCTGGCTTGGAAGAGAGTGATGAGAAAGAAGGGAGAATGAGAGCCTCAAAGAGAAAACTCACTTCTTCCTGGTCTTCCTCCATCAGACTGTCCCCAGCTTGGGATGCTTTCGGGTGTGCCTCTGTATCTATTGGGGTGGGGGAGGAGAGGAGACGGTTGGAAAGTCGAAATTGCCAGGTTCTAGACAAAAATAGAAGGGAGGGAAGATGAACTCTCTCCTAACACAATCAATTATGCATCATGTTGAATGTGGCTTCGAAGAGAATGGAGTCGGGGCTGAAGGGAGGGGGAGAGGGAGAAAGGGCGAATGGGAGGAGGAGGGAGCAGAGAAGGGGGAAATAAAAGACTTCACTTGAACTGGGGGTGGGGAGCTGAAATGTAGATCTCCATCCACTATTTTTCAGATCCAGAATCCAGTCAAGATTTTTTGGTGCGTTTGTTTTGTTTTGTTTTTGTTTTAATAAAGAGTTTAAAGATACAAACACCCTACCCCTTCCTGAGCCCCTCCTTCCCCCAAATTCCTCAAAGATGGTTTATCTCACGTGCTGAAGCGATTAAAAGCCGTTTTCTTTCACTCAGTGAGCAGATCCAATGTACTCGCAGAATATCTGTGTGTTGGGGCGGAGAAGGGGGGGAAGCTGGAGTCTGGGCTCTGTAAGATGGCAGTGAGCACGAAAACATACTGATGTGATAAATATTGCATTGGCTTTGGTGAGGGTCCCTACAGCTTTAACACACGCAGTATGCAGGAGGTGGGAGAGGCTAGGCGCGCCCCCGCTGGCCTCGGGAGCGAGCTCTGACTGCAGCCTGCAGCCAGCCAAAAGGTGGGATTTGGGGGGAGGGGGGCAAAAGTGGCTGACTAGAGTTGAGGGGCAGGCGGCTGGAGGAACCCAGAGACTCCCTCAACTCCTATTTTTCTTTTTTCCTTCCTACCCCCAATCCTTGGACCTGGTATTCTCACAGACCGAGAGACGAGGCGGCCGCCGTTACAGCAGCAACAGATGCAGGGAGACCCTCTCCGCCGGCGTCCGTACTTCGCAACTCAGCATCTAGTTGGGGGTCCGATTCCCCGAGGAATCTGGGCCTCATCGCTCCCCAACAGCAGTGAGAGCTTGGGGACCTGAAGCGGAACAGGTGAGCAGGTCGCCAGTACGACGCTGAGCCAGGTGCAGTTCTGGGGCGTGGGAAGGACCCTGGACAGCGCACACAGCGGGTGCTTGAAGGGCTATCTTTGTGTGTGGATTTGGCCCAGGCAACTCCCCGAAAGCGGGCACGGGGATCAGGGGCATAGGGGACCGAAGGGCCCCAGAGGCGTATGGAGAGGGACAGAGGGACAGTACCAGGACTGCAGGAAGGAGGTTTGTTCTGGTGAAGGCAGGAAGGAGATAGGAGACAGGAGACGTTTGGGTAGGAGAAAGGGGGTAATGGATTTTCCAGCTCGGACCAGCAAACGTCCTGGAACCGCTTCAGATAAGCTAGCCCTGGAGCGGTACAGAGCTGGACACAGACGCTGTTAAGTGGGGTGAGGCTTCGCACATCCTCCTCCAGCTCTGGTGGGTGAGTAAAGACATTGCTCCATTGAAAAAATGGGGGGGGGGCGCAGGTTTTCGGGTCTAAGAAATAAGTACCTTGTTCCTCTTTTCCCCAAGCCCTACAGTCCCGGAGACCCTTAAAGGAAAGAACCAGCCGACTTGACAGATGGACACTGGTTCTTCCAACCCGGGCGCCTGCGATGCCAGAAGGCTGCAACAGGGGGTCCTTAAGCACCAAGGGAGAACTAAGGGGGTGTATTCCAGGACAGCGGCTGAAAGTCCCCACCCACTGGGTTTTCACGGGGGGTGGGGATGAGGGGGAGGGCTCTCTTTCTGCTCTAAGTTTTTATGTTTCTGGTCGGTTGCGTTAAGAGGACAAAAAATGTAGTCACTGCGAATACTGTGTTTTTACTTAACATTGGTATGTAGAAGGGTATGTGCATGCATGTGCGATATCTAGACTTGCGTTTGTGTGCGTCTGCGTCTGTGGGCTTGTGCATGTACGTGTGATTGTATCAGTGTGAACATGCGTCGTATGTTTATATGTATGTTTGTACATGCCACAAAGCGAACAAGTCAGGAAGTCACGGACAACGACACTGTATTTGTATATTTAAAGGAGAGCCGCCCTCGCCTCCTTTATGGAGCTTCTCTGAATCTCATAAATTCCAGCAGAGAGAAATTCTTCTTCTATCTGCCCCATCACCCCACCTCCCACATCCCTTACCAATAGCTGGGGAAGAGAATGCTCAGATAGCGCCAGCTTAACCCTTGGGGAAAGCTTTCGGAGCCAGGTAGCACACTCTCCCTTAGCACCAGCTCAGTAGAGAGGCGCCGTGGGACTTGACGTGGACGCTAGCGTGGAAACTCCGGCTCGATCCAGCAGAAGACTGTGGGTGGCATGAGGCGGGAGCTGGGACAAGGGGCTGGAAAGGGGGAGGGGAACAGGATGAGTTGCGCAGAAACCTTATTGGATTCCCGGCCATTTTCAGCTCCCCTTCACGTGTCTCTCGGAATCAGGGCTCTCGCGAATGGGACCTATACCAGCAACAGCTCTGAGCCAGCCTTGACAGTTGGGGTGGGAGACATAAGCGAAAGTGATCAAGATGAAGATAGGATAGGAAATTTGTTTCCAACTGGAGCAGGACTGGTGCAGTGCTTTGCCCTTTGCTAGATGTAGTGGAAAGGACTGAATGGGAAATCAAAGACCTGGCTGTCCTCCCTGTGCAAAGTCACTGCACCCCCTCTGAACTTCAGTTTTCTCACCTGACAAATCATAGTGTTGGACGATCTAACCTTTGCAGTCCCTTCCAACTATACATTCTATAATCTGGTGACTTCCCCTTTCCTCCTCTCTTTGCAGGAGACACGATGGCGGCGTCTGTGCGGGGCCTGTGGCTGGTGTGGGCGCTGCTGGGGGCCGCCCACGGCTGCACCGAACCCTGCGCCTGCGTGGACAAGTACGCGCACCAGTTCGCCGACTGCGCGTACAAAGACCTACAGGAGGTGCCGTCAGGGCTTCCTGCCAACGTGACCACGCTTAGCTTGTCTGCCAACAAGATCACCTCCTTGCGTCAGGGAGCCTTCGCCGAAGTCACGCAGGTCACGTCTCTGTGGCTGTCCCACAACGAGATCAGCGCCATCGAGCCAGGGGCCCTAGCGGTTCTGGTCCAGCTCAAGAACCTGGACATCAGCCACAACCAGATCGTTGACTTCCCCTGGGCTGATCTGCGCAACTTGAGCGCCCTGCAGCTGCTCAAGATGAACAATAACCGCATGGCGGCGCTGCCGGCCGACGCCTTCCGCAACCTGCGCGACCTGCGCTCTCTGCGTATCAACAACAACCACTTTAGCTTCATAGCAGAGGGCACCTTCGACGCGCTCACCTCGCTGTCCCACCTGCAGATCTATAACAACCCCTTCGATTGCACCTGCCGCCTTCTGTGGCTCAAGGCGTGGGCGGAGAACACTCTCATCTCTATCCCCGAGCGGGAGTCCATCACGTGCGCCGCGCCTCCAAACCTCAAAGGCATCGCCCTGGGTAGCCTCCCAGCGCTGCAGTGCGCGCCGCCCACAGTGCGCCTTAGTTATCAGCCGAACGTAGATGGAGCGGAGCTCCAGGATGGCCTGGCCCTGGCCCTGCACTGCGTCGCCACCGGCCATCCCCTGCCCCAGATCCAGTGGCGAATCGAGACAACCGGTGGTGCGCTGCTCATCGAGCGACCCAACGCCAGCGAGGCCGGGGAGGAGACACCCCCGCTCTCTCCACAGCGCTTCCTAGCCTTCGCCAATGGCACCTTGCTTATCCCACACCTGAGCAAAAAGGAAGAGGGCACCTACACGTGCCGGGCAGACAACGAGCTGGGCAGCAACGAGACGTCGGTGAGCGTGGCGGTGGCCGGGCCGCAGAAATACCCCCCGGCTTCGCCCAGAGGTGAGCTCCCCGGCCTGGGCAGCAAAGGCTCAGGAGGAGATCGCAAAGCGTCTGGCAAGGGATATGGCAATAGTGTCCTGACCTCCAAGGGCGAGGAGAGGACCAAAGGCCGGGGTCCCTGGGGAGGGCAGGGCAGGGCGTCAGCTGCACGGACCCCAGAGGTCCCGGAGGATGTGGAGGTGGAGGCGGAGGCAGAAGAAGACCCCTTTCGGCCACCGCCATTTGAGCGGCGCTGTGGCCAAGGGGACCCTACAATGTACGTGTCTAACCACGCCTTTAACCAGAGTGCGGACCTTAAGCCCCATGCCTTCGACCTGGGCGTGATTGCACTGGATGTGTCCGAGCGAGAGGCCAAAGTACAGCTGACTCCATTCGCGGTCAGGCCGGAGAAGCGGCACCTGCGAATGCTCTACCTGTGCGCTGAGAGCGGCCACGCAGTAGTGCAGTGGTCCCGGATCGAGGAGGGCGTCAATTCCTACTGGTTCCAAGGCCTTAGCCCGGGCACCAACTACTCGGTGTGCCTCACTTACGTGGGCGAGGCTTGCCAGGTGCAAGTCGTGTTCACCACCAAGAAAGAAGTGCCCTCCCTAGTCATCATAGTGGTGGTCAGTGTCTTCCTTCTGGCGCTGGCCACTGTGCCTCTGCTGGGGGCCACGTGTTGCCATCTTCTCTCCAAGTACCAGGGCAAGACCTACAGGCTTATCATGAAGGCGCAGAACCCTGACCAGATGGAGAAGCACATCGCTGCCGACTTCGACCCCCGCGCTTCCTACTTGGAGTCTGAGAAGAATTACAGCCCCACAGACTCTGGTCCCGGGGTGGGAGAAGGGACTGGACCTGGCAGTAGGGCTAGGACAAGAGTAGGGGAGGAGGAAGAGGATGATCAGGAGGAGGAAGAGGTGGGTGGAGGAATGGAGAGGGACGAGAGCCTGGTAGCCGGCTCCCTTCCGGAGTCCCAGTCCAAGGCCAACCAGGAGGAGTTTGAGGCAAGCTCGGAGTACAGCGACCGGTTGCCACTGGGGGCTGAGGCGGTTGATATCGCCCAGGAAATTAATGGAAACTATAGGCAGACAGAACGTTGACCTTCCTCTCCCCTCCTCCCCCTCCTTTCCACCTCCTCAATTCTTGCCTGACCCCCAACCTTGGACATTGGGAACCAAAAGAAAATGGGGTGGGGGGAGGGATAAGACCACTCTAAAGCATTTCACCTTAACAGTGTAAATAAGGTTGCCCGGGGGTACTGACCTAAAATTCTCGGCATGCAGTCGGGTAGCGACGAATAGAGTTCGTCCACCCTTTCCACTCAGAGGTCCCCTCCGCCCAGTCCCGGGAGGCTGAGCCTCCCACACCCGGGAGCCTTTCTGATTGAACCATCCTTCCCCATCTCATTTCTAGCTGCTTTCCTTTTGAAGCAGGTGCACTTACTCCCTAAAGACCAGGGCCCTACCCCTTTTGAAATTTTAAAACAAAAAAGAAAAAAAAAATCCCTTTCCTTCCTTCCATGGCTTTCAAGGGAACAAAATCTAAGTTCCGTGTTCTCCTCCTTTCATCTCCACCTCAACCATTTGCAACACAAGGAAACGAAACGGGGATTGGAGACTGGGACAAGTTACAACTCACCACTCCTTTTGATTTTAAGATTTGTATTACTTTTTAAAAGGAAAATCATGACGCTATTGGATCTGGTGCTAACACCCCGCTTCCCAGCCTGATGGGAAATAAGGGTCTTTCATTCATCCATTTCATTCATTCACCTGTGTTCCCCTTTCAATTTTTACCCCATCCTTGCCCCTTCTCTCTCTCTTTCTCCCTTCTTTCCCTTAAAACAGGATTTCTATCCGATCACGCCCAACTCTCCAGGAATGTATGAGTTAGCTCCCATTGTGTATTTCGTTGTAACTGTCTTTAGGTTTCAGGAGGTTTCCGCGCTGGACAGATCCAGTACCTGCTGTACTCACCGGCCCCAACCCAGGAGACAACTCAAAGGTCCCCCGAGCTAGGGCTGTTGGGAACAGTGAAAAGAACGAGTTTAGAAAGAGCCCCTAGAATACCCCCTCCCCGCTCTCGTCCTCTCACCTGGGAATCAACTAGATGTGAAACAGAGTTGGGTCTCCCATACTAAGCCCAGGACTTCGAAGGCGAACTGTAGAAGTTAAAGGTGTATATCTTTGTATTTGTGACTTGGACTAATCTTCAACCGTGAGTGCTTTAAATTTGTTTGGCACAAAATATCTGTATATAGAAATGGATCAAGGACGGAGAAAAGAATCTCTGTTCTTTTGTGGATCTCGGCATCCCGCCCCACCCTTCCTCCCTATCCCTCCGAATAGATATGATGTTCCCTACCGAGAACCGTATTAGAGAAATGTGTATTCCTAGGCTAGAGTGATTTCTAGAAACAAAAGTACGTGGTCCTGTTCATTGTAAACCTGTAGTCTTAGCAGGGGCTGGGAAGGGGGGAGGGGACGAGGAGAGGAAGAAGGTTCAGCCGCAGAGACAGAGTCTAGCTCAGCCTTGTCAGTCCTCAGTCCCGAAAGCGCTCCCGGGTCTTGCTTTCCTTTCTTTCTTAAAAGAAAGAATTGGATATATTAAGGTTTGGTGGGGTGGGGGGAGGGGGTTATATTGTTGTATTTGTTTGTTTTGGAGAGTGGCTGTTTTTCTCTGGCCTCGAGGCAAATTTCACCTACCACCCGCATTGTCCAGCTCAGCACAAGCTCTTCCTCTGGGGTAGTTCTCGGAAGGACCGTAGAGTACAACCAACACTCCCTCCCTCTCCATCGAACCATCAGATCAGTGACCTTTCCTAAAGCGCTTCTGTGTGTAGAGTCAATAAAAGAAATGGATTCAAAACGGACTTTTCAAACTCTGTTTAGAGGAAGAGGGTTAGGGGAAGGAAGAGGAGGGGGGATTTCCATAATCTTTCTCTTTTTGGTAGAATTTTCATGTTATTGTTTTTTCAATCCACTAATATGATCAGGTATTTGTGTCTAGGTGGAAGGCATTCTGCCCTATCCCTTTCCTAACTGCCCACTTAGACTAATTCCTCCTTGGGCTTTCCAGAAGACACCAGTCCAGTGCTTCTCCAGCTTCTGAGATTGCACTAAGGTGGAACTAGTGTGGGTAGTTTTGGGAAACAGAGGATAGCTCACCAAGGAATCACTGTGACCAGAAGCCAAAAAGGGCCTCAAGTGCTAAGGAAGGGCTGGGTCATCTTCCAAGTATCGAGGGTGGATGGTTGAACAGTGTGTGGCACATGGTTTCAGAGAGTCACAAATGTTGGGAAGCATGAAACCTAAAACTTCTGAGCAATTACATCAATCCACCCCCAAATCAGAGGCTTGTGTGTCTCAGTTCTGTTTTCACCATAAGGTCCCTTCCAGCTCCAAAGGTCTAAGATAATAGGAGTTTAATCGACAAAGATGCTGCATGTAACAGCAACCTCGAGCAAAATAACCATCCTATAGGAGTTTTTTTCCATCTGAGAATTTAAGTATTGAGACCAAACATTCTATAGAGCAAAAGAGAACCTTTTGTTGATTAAAAAGAACTCCTAGTTACCATGGATTATATTTTTGCAAGAATTCTGAGAAATAAGCAACCTCTTTAACTAGACACTTACTAAACACACAGCTATGCTGTTTCTCAGCTGGATAGTGGCTTTCTCACCCTGAGTTTGTGTTGGAGAGAGACAAGGACAGAACAGAGAGGTGGAGGGAGGGAGGGAGAGAGAGAGAGAGAGAGAGAGAGAGAGAGAGAGAGAGAGAGAGAGAGAGAGAGATCAGCTAAGATGAGGTAGAAATATTTTGTATTTCTTCTTTTGAGAACTTTGTTCATATCCTTTATGTCTATTGGAGAATAGCTCTTGGTATTATAGACCTATATAAATTCCCCACAGATTTTTAGATGGACAAGAGGAGAGGTGAGGGAGGAAAGGAGGAATGGTGAAAAAGGTAAAGAGAAGGGGAGGAAGAGAGGATTGGAAAGATGGAGAGAAAGAAGCGAGGGAAGGAGAGGGATAGTGAGGGAGGAAAAAGAGGGAGAAGAAGAGAGAAAAAGACGGAAGGAAGGAAAAGAGGGAGATGAAAGAAGAAAAGGAGAGACAGAGAGAGAGATCATTTTGGCTCTTCTCAGGTTTATTTATGGGTGCCCATATACAGTATCATTGTCTCAATTAAAAACATAGCAATTTAACAGCTTTATAAGTGAGTTGGTTTCAAATGGGGCTCGAGAAGCAGAAAAACAAAGCAGAAGGCATGGAAAGCTGGCCAAGACAAAAGCAGCCTCTGTGCTTGTTTGGCCTGTGACTGGTCTGTGAATTTAAGCTCAGTGGAATGGGGGAGGGGAGCAAAGGAAGAAAGCATCTAAGCTCAAATAGGAAGGCCAAAATCAGTCCAATGGGGAGAGGCTAAATAGCATTCTCCCTTTGGGTGCTGCTCTGGGCTGTGCACCTTGTCACACAGCTGTGGAACTTAGAAAGTTGAAGGGAAAGGGCCACTTGCCAAGAGGACAAGGTCATCACCACCTGGGCCAGAGTTTCACAAAGAAGAAGAATGTTGTTCCATGGGCCCTACTCTTTGCTCCAATATAGACTGACTTCTATTTACACCTGAGGTCTATTCCCTAACCCTGACAGGAGAATGCCCTGGTAAAATACTGACTCCTGACCCTAGCCAATTCCTGAAGTGTAGCCAAGGACTGATCTGTAACATTAGTCACAGGTAGATGCATACCTCTGACCACAGTTTGACGCCTAAATCTTGCTACAAATTGACTTCTAACCCCAATCACAGTCTGACCTATCTCACTACTGATTAACCCCTAATCCCAGCCAGAGAGTGAGTCCTAATCCTGGCCAGTTGTTTTACTAACAATATCATAAGGGGGAAATTGTGAGAGTGTTTGGGAATACCTTTCAGCCCACATCAAGTAATGGGGCAGCATTCTTTATAAAGAAGATGATTTTTAAAAATTCTATCTGCATATACACGATATATGACCAAGGGGAGGAGGGCCATGGTTAGCCCATCTGCTGGCCCAATTCCTATGTACATACCTGAAATATATGCCCAAGAGGTCAAGATGCATTAGCCATCAGAGACTATTCCCATCTAAGGACAAACACTTGAATGAGAAGTGGAAAAATGCAGCTGATGACCCAGACATATCTAAATTCCCATAGGACCTTTTCAGTTTTCATCCAAATGTTTGGCATTGGCCCCAACTTGTCCCACTCTCAACTTCTCCCTTTCTTTCTATTCCCTTCTTGTCTTTATCTGTTATGTATGGTTATGGTGGAATGAGCACTGGATTTGGAATTGGAAGACCTGGATTTGAATCCTGGTTCTATTAGTTACCACCTGTGTGGTTTGGGTAGAGTCACTTCTCTGGGCTTAAGGTTCCTCGTGTGTAAAATGAGGGGATATGGTCTAAGTGATCTCTCCCTTTTAGCTCAATAATAATCAGGGATTCTGAACCTGGGATATGGGCACTTGTTTGGTTTGTAAATATATTTTAATTATTGTATTTCTTTTTTTAACTCACTTTTGTTTTATTTTCAGTTCCAAATTCTTTATTTTCTCCCACTCATTGAAAAGAGAAGAAAAATAAAACTCATTACAAATATTTATAGACATGCAAAACAAATTTCTGCATTAGCCATGCTATAACTATTTCCTTTGTAAGCCTATGCATTTTATTCCAAGGCTTTAACAACATATATGAGAGGGATCCAGAGGTTTCATCAGACATAAAAAACCCCCTATGCTAGATCCTATTATCCTATCCAGTTACTGGTTTTTCTGTTGTTCACTTTCCGCATTCCTCTCACCAGTCTACCTCTTTTACTGGAATTTATGCCAAGAAGCAGTTTTCTTTCTCTAAGTCTTGATCTGTGTGACTCTCTCTCCACCCCTAGGACCTGAGTGAGGTATTTTCTTTCCCATGAAAACAACACAGATGTTCTGTTTAAGAGACTGGTTCACTTATAGCTTTTGGGTAGCTGAAAGCCCCACACACATTCCCAGACCCAAGTTCACAAACCATTCTCTACATAAGTCAGGACATATGAAAAAAGATTTGAGTTAGAGACTCTTAGGATTTTTTTTTCTTACATGAAGGAAATACCAGCCCCATTATCCCTCCCCCTCCCCCCAAAAAGCCACCCAAGATATGCTCATCCTTGGCATAGATAGGGACTTTCTCATTCATAGGTTTGAGGTTTGATAAGAGACACAGATTTTCCTGCAGGGTGGAAATTAAAAGGAGGAAGTGAAGGGAAAGAATAGGAGGGAGAAAGGAGAAAGTGAAAGTGGGAAGAGAGCAGAGAGAGAAAAGCCAGGAAGGACTGAAGAGCAAGAGGTGATTACCAGAGGCTCAAGAGCTGTGCTTGGAGCTAACAAAGGTATTTGACCCAGGAGAGGTCGGATGATTGTACCCATTGTGTGTTACTATCCACCAAAGACTCTCTGTCTTTCCCATAATGTACACCACTTGACATCAGGAAATTAAATCATAGAGTCAGAATGTTAGAGCATGGGAAGACATTAGAACATTGAACCTATAATATCAAAGGTAGAAGAGACCCGAGAATATAGAATGTTAGAGCTGGG